GGCGTTCGCTTGGATTTCGAAATGCGCATTCACGTCACATTTACATGCAACCCAAATTCACATCTAGAATTCACTTGAAGTTATCTCATCACAGATTTGACAATAAAATGTAACCGTGAACATCAGTTGATGGAGTTTGCATTACGGCGTTAAATTGCACGTGAAATGACCACCGTGGGCCTCCATTATGTAATGTGTACCAACCTCAAAGTTGACCCGTGTTGGTGATTCTTTCACGGTTGTTTTAGAATTTGAAACAGACAACTTCTGAAGAAGGATGAAGTAAGAGTATTTTGAGCTAGTGGTGTGCGATGATTCTTTTTTACCTTCGAGGTCTATAGTAATACCGTTAGGCCAGTAGAGATTCCCTTCAACAAGGAGGGTCCTGTTGTGTCCGTCGAGATCTGCTCTCTCTATTTTCGGATTTTCTCCCCAGTTTGTCCAGTAAATGTGTCTTCAAAAGAAGAAACCAGATCTGTCGTGTAGTGTTGCATATCACAAACCCCTAATTATTCTCACCACCACGTGCATCCCATGGTGTGCTAGCTGGTCAACGATTAACCTCTTTTGAAAGTAAGTATTGTTTAGGTAGTGCGCTTTGTGAGCAGCCAATATGAACCGATCGCTTATTAAACAAATTCGGTATGACATGAAAAAAGCTGGCAGCAGCTTGAAACAGAACACCTTAGGAACAACTCCAGGGTGTAGAAGTTGTTTAATCAGATTTGGCCACACTCACCCACTGTTGCTGTTTACAACAATGCCTCTCGGTCTGTCCAGATTTTCGGTGATGTTTTCGCTGCCCGATCCGTTTGTGAAGGCTCGGCCTATGTTTCCAATGTAATCCGTCCAGTAAAGCATTCTGGATATGACATTCAAAGCCAATCCGTCAGGTTCTGGGAAAGACAAAATAGTCAGAAAGAGTATCATTAATTATGAATAAAATTTAGTTGGGATCAGCATTTTTCTCCTATTTATCTTAAATAGGGAAATAAATTTTGCGAACACAATGTTTAAAAAACTAAATTGAACCGGTCACCCGTCAGGCTACAACCATCATACATGAATTGACAAAGTCAAAAAACGTTTGTAACAAAAGTGCGGTTGGAAATTCAGAAAACAAGTTTACGGCGTTGCAAGCCATGTCCTCTAGTTGTTCGCACACTCTCTCAAACACTTACGGAACAGGTTGTCCACGAGTGTCCCCTGCCTACTACCATTAAGATGTGCCCTTGAGATCTTGGGAGACGGTGAGGCACTGATATCGCTCCAGTACACCATCTGCTCTACCGGGTCGTATTCCACCGCTACTGGTCTCCTTACCCCCATCAAGGGCAGGGCAAATGAATCGGACAGTCTCTGGGCCATACTTCCAATGGAAATGGTACCGTTATCGAGGTCGGCAACAAGTGCAAAATCACCTTTAGTAGTAAATCAGATATTTAAAGGAAACATACGGCTGTAATCGGTTCAATTCAAGTCTTTGTAATGCATTCTCACTCTATAAAGTTCTCTTAAACTTTGTCAAAATGTGACAGAAGTTAATCATGGATCGGGACTCTCAAAGCTAATTAGAATGCAGCACACTGTATAAGCAAAGGGTCAATGGGTAGGACCCACCCCCATGGTGAATCTTTTCTTTTTTGCATCAATTTTAAAAGTGCTTTCTAATCTTTCGAATTTTGTAAACATTCTGGGTCTATCACCCATGAAACTCACCCGCACTTGCAAATTCACAGCCAACTCCAATCAGAAGCAATTCAATTAAGATGCAGCTCATGTTCAAACATTCGACAAGTTGCACGGAATAGTACGAAGACAAATCCGGTGAAACCACGGTAAACCACTACCAGCGGGAAGGAAGTGGCTGTTCTACTTAATCGTACTAGGAAATGGAACCCTCGTTGTAGTAGCCTCCATGTTGTGAAACGTTAGGCAACTCACCAGTGATTCAGTAATGTACAACGAATAGATTGGTGACCATTTCCTTCGCAACAAAGGCATATACTGTGGCCTTGAAGTTTTTTTTTTTACAAATGGCCTAATTCCAACAATTATTCAGTATCGGGTAAATTGGACGTAGTCTCCTGGTTTTTGTTGAGGGGCAGATAAAAGCCACAAAAAGAAACATAATGGTCCATATGCCAATACAATTCGTCGTAGGACACAGAGGTGACCTTCCTCCGAGGGATGCTACCCATTGTCAACTGGTAGAACAGTTTTAAACGGTCTTTGCTCTGGTCTACTTATCGATATTTTTCTCATGCCAGTTTCACCTTGAGCCAAAACCATAAAACTTAGAATTTAATTCACTACCAACACACATGGACAGATTAAGGGATACCGATGGGGGAGGGGTGCTGGTGGGGAGAACAGGTGTCTGCATGTTTGACCATACAATTGCCTTCAGATCTAAAAGACCTTTGTTCCCTTTGAAATTTGGTCTCTAACATGCAGTGTACATGTATTAACCAAAACATCTTTGAAGTTGAAATGAAGTCTAACATTATCACTATGTTGTGATTATTTATAGTTCCTGAGCGCCCCAAGTTTTGGGTTGTAACAAAAATGTTTTTGTCTGAGAACTGCAAGTCTGATTTAAAAAAAAAAGCCGGCGAGGGTGTCCCCTTTGGCCAACTGAATTCACACAACTGCTGTAAGTTTGAAGCTGTACAATTCCCTGTTCCAATTCCCTGTTAAAAGTAAGGTGTGGTATCACTTGATTAATTTTGCATGTATTTTTTGGCGACTCAACCAAAACCCAGCACCTTTTTAAACATCGTACTATTTTATATTGGAACAATTTTTTCTCCCGGAAAAAATTCTTAGAGTCATTTTTCCTTAACATAGTACAACGCATTAACTTGAAAGTTAGTAGGAACATCAAACCAGATCCCGAAGTGTGCATATAAAAAGGCCGGGGTCATTATCTGCGCGAAACGAACAGCCTGGTTCTCTTCACTGGTATACAGTAATAGAGCCAAGGTAGTTAGCGCCCTCATTGCTGGTACTATATATACCAAGTGTACTTGCAAATCATTCTTATATTTTAAAGATACATTACAGAAATATTTTCATTGCTGGTACTATATATACCAAGAGTACTTGCAAATCATTCTTATATTTTAAAGATACATTACAGAAATATTTTCATAAATTTGAACAACTTCCTTCTCTATTATGCATTAATGCATTCGTAACTTTAATAGTCTTGAATTTCAACAAAACGAAGGTTTGTGTTTACGCAATGCACAGAAATAAACGAGGAATGTCAATAAAATTTACTGGCTTCAAGATATATCTGAAATAAAAGCTAATTAAAACGAAACGATAGAGACTTATTTCAAATAATGTCTCCTTTTAAATGACGCCAACATTAGATACGTTCGTGAGCCTCAATCACTAGGGTTTGTTATATTACATTGAACCCAGTCAGGATTCAACCCCATTAAGGTTTAACAAAATAAATGCCACAAAAACATATCTGCAACTGCAAGAAGTTAATTTCCACATTATATTTACACCGTTGTTGAGACATTTCGGAACATTTTCAATACAAGTTTCATTCACATTCCTGAATTAACGGTCAACGGTTCCAAAGGTTCTGAATGCTGAATATAATCTTCTCTTACACAAGGAAGTGAGCGCTTATTCCAAATATAACAGAAACAACAATGTATACACAAATCAACGATCTTTTCCTATAAGAATTGTTCCAATAAGAATTTGTAGTACTTGGAATAAAGTTCTAGGTACTAAACATTTATACTCGATGTACAACAGTACGAAGCAGAGTTAACATATAACAATATGTACTTTGTTGATGTGTGGCAACTAACAATACATTATTACATTGAGAAAATTTTTCAACAGTACATACAAAGTTCAGTCCTGCTATTATAAAATGTGTATAACGATATCTTATTAAGTAATGTTAAAATGATGGCAAGAAAGACCTCGCGTGGTGACGCCTGAAGGCGCCTTTCCATATGTTCCTTTTTTGGTGCGTTGCGTACACGATGCCTTTCACTTCAACGGACACAAAAATCCATTCCACTATAAGACGACACATACGTGCTGCGTTTGGCCGTCCAAATCGCCCCGGGATCGATTTTTTTGGGGGGATACACAACGCTTGGCGCAAATGTTGACGCACATATTGAAAGGCGCCTTTACTTGTGCTATAATATGTTTGGGAAAGATATAGCGAGTGTTTCATTCGTTCAAACATTAAATCAAAGTAATGTTTAACAGCAGAACGTGGGAATGGGCCATTAAGCATAAAGCTTATTAAAACACGTTTGACAAAACATGCTTATTTTGTAAACGTATAAAAAAAAGAACACAAAGATGTACATTTCTATGTCCATCCAAAGGATGCATTGGTCTTGTTTATTTGCAAAAATACTCCGCTAACTTGCCGGTAATTATTTTGATAACCGGCGCTTTGACTTCATGTTCATGTAATTACCAACTTACAAGGCAAAACATTGTTCGTGGAAATTAGGAATAGTAATTTTCTCGACAAAGGTGTTATACTAATGCCTATTACGTTCGCTAGCAAGCAGGGTCAAAGGTTAAGTAAACTGACAATGTTAGTTTTTAAGTTGGTAAAATGTCAGAATTCCCTAACATCCGGGCACTGTGTAACCTTTTGTAATTGGCTCGTGTCTCATTACAACTCAGGATTAGTCATTTCATTGCATCACGGCATCTGATGAGTGCAGACCACTAATTCAAGCGAGAATTTCTGGCCAGCTCATTAGCATTGAAATTACCCCACAATATCTTTTGCACAAGGAGATTGTTTGGCCCCCAAAATGGTGAGATTGTGTAAATCGTTGCCAGGATCAACTTCGGAAAAATCACTTTTGGGGGGGGGATTTTGTTTTGTGGGAATCATTAAAAATGAAATTGGTTAACCCACAAAAATTTGAAAAGAAATTGAAAGATTAGTGACCAGACAAGAATTTCATTTGTGTTTCAGAAATCTCTAGGATGTTGACGTGCATGTTATTGGGCCCTGAACAGTGCTGATTTGACACTGTTTTCAAATGGGGCTTGAATTAGTAGACTGTACCCTGATAGAAACAGACAGTCAAACTGACTGACCGACTCAACAGGTTCAGAATAAGTTTTTCATATTGCAGTATGTTCCGTCTGCTTCCTCATCCACGATTTTGCTAGGGAACGGTGGAAGGGGGAGCCCTCGCCGTGGTACCTCAGCGTACAAGTGGTCATCAGCTGCGCCAGCGTCGGCTATGGTCTCATGGTAGATCGGAGAGGGCGGGCCTGCGCAGGCGGCTGTGGTCGAAGTGAACTCGGAGAGTTCAACGCAGCCTATTTCGGTAGTGAGTCCAGTGTGGAAAGGAAAGTTGGTTTGTGGTCGTGATTTTCGCCTGTTGAACATAAAATGAATTCAAAATGAGTCACAAAGGTAACTCAGTTACTAAGTATATCGTCCGTTTTTTGCGAAGTGAAAAATCCCGAATATCGTGATTTACTTGATCTTGAGTTTTTCTAGCCTTTATATTACATTTGATTCCGAGAACAATATGACGAAGTGTAATTTCATCAAGTGACAAATCATCACCCCGTCAGCAGGAAAGAAGGAAAGCATTATATTGTTCTGCAAATCTGAACGAGTCAGCATGCACGTGTATGCATATGTGCGCACGATGTTGATACGAAGACTACCATAACATGTTAACAGGTAACAATAATGTAACAAATTTCTCATGCATTCGTGATTGCGTGATTGAAGCTTGAACTTTGTTCATAATAGGCAGCCAAATGCCCTTTTTTTCCTATACCGTGTTTTGGAGGATATTATAATATGTTTTGAAAGTTTTCTGTTCTGTAGGCCACAGACAACCAAACTCTGCATGATGATCCTTGATGACATTTGGGCATTTCGAGATAGAAGTGAAAATTTCCTTTAGCTATTTTAATAATAAATCCAAGAGATGTGGCACTTTTACAACTATTGGTGGCGCTATTTAAAATATGTAGGTTACAAAATTAAAATTATATTAAAGCTTTTATATACGAAACCATTAGTTACACAAATAAAAAATGAAACAGAATTGTTTTATCACCTGAAAGAATAGTGTTGTAAACTTCATCATTTTGAAGGAATGACCAAATGGATCGGTCTGGTGCCGTCTGGAAAGTACATGCCAGCAAATCTTAAAGGTCCCCCAAAATCGGACTTTCGTGCAATCCCGAAATATCTTACTTGAAAGAAAGTACATTGCAGCCTCAATCAGTCTGTAAAATATTTCTGCCAAGAGTGCTGTAGTTTTCGAGAAAACAGAAATTTTTTTGTCTTTTTTTATGATGGTCGGCCGACCATCATAATAAGAGTTCATTTCATTTCGCACGTCACAGTCTTTAACAGGCGCTAAGTTTCTTGTGTATAGTGTTTTCAGATTGTGGGAGTCTCCATCAATGAACGGGTAAACGTAAAATCAGCAAAAAATATGAAGCCCAAAAATCATCAAAAGCATTGTAAACTGAAATTATAGGAACCTGAGTGCAAGGTGTAAAGTACGAAATAAATTGGATCAGTGTTAAGTTAAATTTTATTTAAGGAAATGATTTTCTTAACTCGAAAACTTTGCCAATTCCAAAGCACCCTAGAGCATAATGGTATGATTCAAACGTGTTCGAAATACCTCTATTGACATCAAACATTTGTCAATAAGAAACATCAAAAGCTCAGAACAGAATTAAAGTTATAAACCCAGATCAGAGAAGTATTCAAAAAGACAAATTGCACAATCTAACAAAGGGCACCAAGGAAAGATACTCAAAAATTGTAAAAGGAAGCAATTAGAAGAGAATGTTTGGCCTAGGACACAGGCGAGAAAGGAAGGGGAAGCCTTGAATAGGCCTGGAAAGGCATGAACAGAGAGGAAAAAACCTACTAGGGGGAAGCAAATCGGGTACAAAGCTCGAGAAAGGGAAGAGAAGATTGTTTAGTGTCAGGACATGAGTCGACTGCGTTCCTAGATGAAGTTTTTTCATGAATCCGCAATGCTACATGTACACTGTCGAGAAGGCACATTACTCTAAGCTAACTTCACTGATTACTCCTAGCCGTTGAGAACCCGTCCTGCCTGTTTCTAACACTGACCCCGCGGATGAAACAATCAGTGGAATGTAAGTTGCAGTGAATATTGTACACTGAAATCTTATGAAATTACGACAAAAATTCAACAGTGTTCACTACCTTTAAATGGGTCTGGGTACATACACATTAAACAATGTACACGTGCATGTGGAAAATTATATCTTCGCAGATGGAGTTTGTGGGAATTCTTGTCGAAGTTTTTACCGTAAATTTATTGCCCAAATGCGACAAAAGTGATATGGAAAGCAGCACATATCATTAACTGTAATTGTAAATCTAGGTGCCGTTTTTTGGCACGAAATGTGGAATTGTTACCAGTTGTTAACAGGCGTTCTTACGGCTGAGTACTCAGGTAATAAGTTTAAACGTTACAGCGTACACTGCTTATCCTAACACAGAGAGGACCACTTTGAGGGAAGCTCAATGGTTGACGGCTCAAGCTGCACAAGATTTCACCATGTTCAGAAGTGATCAGCAGTTGTACAGAGTATGTCAGAAAATGGAACATTTCCAGATGGGACAATTTGTCAGTCAAACTTTCCTTACTTTATATAGCTTTTGGAGGACACTTCTGTAACACAAGCTCTGTTTGAATGTTGAAATAAAATTTGGAATAGTGAAGTAATAAGACCAGTGTAACAAGAAAGGTTTTCATTTTAAAATGTACTAGTGTAATGATTAAAGTGTAAACGGTATCACGGCTTCAGAAGGCCATAGCACATTATTTTGTACATCTGTAGACAAACGTCCACTTAATAGGCCTAATACGAGAATCTTTCAGGGCAGAATGGCTATGCTTGTAATGAACGTATTATTGCATTTCAAAGTAATCAGAAACACTACCATGTGAGGCCTTCCTCACCCATTTAAGTGCCCATATTTTCCATTCTCTATTCAGCTTGAACTATACAGACATGGTTAACTACGAAATGTTTTTGATTAGAATGTGCACCACTTCACCAACTTACTCTTTGGCTTTTGTTTGCCCGTCATATTTAATGAATCCACCCACGGTGGAAGGTGATTCTTCTGCCTGTTACAACACATTACCAGTAGGCTTGTAGCTTGGCATTGTACTGAACCAAAGGTACAATGGTACCATTGCATTTCATGCAATAGTACCATTTTACCTTTGTAATATAGAAACCTACCTGTTCAGTACAGTGATGACAACGAAGAGGACCGCGATGAAGACGAGGGCTCCCCCTCCACCGCCCATAATTAGTACTACAGGGCTGGATGTCTTGCGCTGGATGTCTTGCGCTGCCAAAACTAGAAGAAATAGTAGGATGATTCTTCACCGGTTGCCTCAATATCGAAACCATTGTGGTGAAACAAAGGTTTTTGTCTGTGGCTCTTCAATTGTGGAAAAGGTTTCGTAAGTCAATGAAGGCATGGTTCAGTTAAAGGATGGGTGTTTTAACACCTCATTGGGTGAATTAATATTACGCGACACGACTGACTTTTCTTTGTGTTACTTCTGTCGTTTATTGCGTTGACATGTATTAAAGCTAGAATGGATCAAAAATCGGTCTACCACAGTCATAGTCGCTCAAAGACAATAATAACATCAAACTACTACCTTTGAAGTTATTACTGGCTTCTGGCATTTCATTTGAAGAAAAGAATTAGGAGAGGGGCATATCTATTTTTGAATACTGCACCGGTGATCTGATTCGTAATTTGGCAAATCTGTCGACGGTTTAACATGGTCTTTGGAAGGAATTATTTGGGGTGTTGCTGAAAATATGTGACCTCGACGACAGGTGAGTATACCTGCTGAATCAAAACCATGTTAAATGTCTATTGAATATCGTGAGGGCCCATTTAAAACATGAAAAAGTAACGTTGAAATCCTGCTATAAGACTCATATTGCTGAGTATATTCTCAAAATAGACACTGTTGGGCGTGCCAAAATCCTAAAAACTTGATTTTTAAACATTCGCAGCGAGATGTAAAAAAATATGATGCCTCTAACTGGTAAACACACAGGAGAAAAATGACCCACTTCACTTTTTACATTTGAAATGTTGTTTTAAACGCTTTAGCTCACCTCTCACTCAACTTTATAATACCAACACCATCAGCACCAACGCCGACACAAACATCGACAACAATACAAACACAGAGGCTACCGAGCTAATACAGCAGTCCAAATTGATTATCGTACCATGTTCGCACGTTAATCCATCGTAGGCAGCAGTACAGAGGCAATTGAACCCACTCGGCGTACTGATGCAAGTTGCCCCGTTAGCACATGGCTCGTCAATACAAGAGTCTATAGAAAATAATAAGGCATCTTGTATTTTACTTCAAACAAAACATGGACAAATAAAGCAAAATAGCAGCATAAAGATACATCTTCAAATTCATACAAAGCATCACCCGAATTGCCCTGACAATGTCATAACGTAACAATACTTTCTCTTTTCTTATCTCATAGAGATAGTCCAACGTATTCACGAGAGAAATTCTTTGCTGTGACCTGATGCTGATTTTTGCAGATGCAGTCGGCAGGGAGTTTTCTTTTTTCAGATCGATTGCATTGGCCTTTTTAAAATTCGAAAATTTACCGCCGAAACATTCTTTTCCTGAGCACTCGTATGTGTAACCATGGGTACAAGAGATTTGAATGAAGACGATGTGGTCTTATATGAGTCACGGGTAGACTTTACGGGATTTTACCAGTTTAATATACCGTCACATTAAGGTGTCATCCACTAGTAGGATGCAGGAGATGAACAAACTCGACACAGACAGGCAATAACTTAAAATCAACACTCAAACAAGCTTCGAAAATACATTTGCCCTTCAAGTGTAGAAAAAAGTGACATCCTCTTTGACATTTCTATCAATATCCAAAGTTCTGATTCTGAGAAGTTTCAAAATAACGCGTCCTCCCGACTCAAAAAAAAAGCTGGGGAGAATTAATTTTCGGGAAAACAAAAGATACCACTACGAAGAAGGGGCAAGAACTGATACGAAACCAGGGCTGAAGCCGACTACCAAGGAAGTGAGACTGGTAATACAATGTGAAGCTTAACATGGATACCGTAGAGGCCCACACCACACAAGGCATGTCAGGGTAGTTTCCTAGAATACACATTAACGCTATAAATACTACCTAGAAAGTAAATACACTTCAGAAAATGATCTTTTAAAACGAGGAAAAACAACAAAATGAAATAACATTACAAAATGCGCCATTTAGACCTCGAACCACTTCTTTAACCACCATGCTTCACAAGCTAGCTGTACCCGCCTCCTTATTCCTTCGTCTTTGCGCACAACAATTCACATTGAAATAAAGGTGTGGTGTCTATTATAATATATTATCAGCAAGCTTCTAACAGTGGCATTTGATGATAAGTCTTAACATGTATTGCTTCAAAATCTTTAGGGTACAGAAAGAGCACCTTGACTGCATGCAGCAGGCTGTCCCGACCATGAGAAATCTGGCTGACAAATCCTAATGGCGGATCCGTTGAGATGATATCCGGCCGGGCAGGCATACTCGACCGAGTCACCAGGAACATACATAGCTTGCTGGCTTGATGCCACAAACAGAACATCGGATTCGTTGAGGGACACCATGCAGCTCGCAACTGTTCAAAACAAATTTTTTCAACGTTGGGTATAAAAAAGACACTTTGGGATGCTTGAAAAGGTTACAGTATGTGGATAATTAGAAATGAAGAACATCCTCCCCTTACATGATTATTGATTTAATTAACCCTAACCCTCCTCAATCCTCCAACAGGTGAAGGATTGAGGAGGGTTAGGGTTAATGGGTGACTTTACATGCATAAGTTTTACTCGAGGCCAGTTCATGTTGCCCTTTCTGCACTGCGCAATGGGGCATTTGCAACAGCTCATGTGAAGAAAGAGAAATGGCCCAATCAGGTCACAAACACTAACGTATAATTATAAAACTAGCATAACGATTATCATACCCTCTGCGCATGTCACTCCACCATAACCGGTAGGACAAAGGCAAGTGAACCCTCCCGGTGCTTCGGTGCATGTTGCTCCGTTCAGACATGGTTCACTGAAGCAAGGTTCTATTATTGAAAATTTGATGTCTGTCAAAGTTCCTGCTGTCACGCTGTACGACATTGCTCAAGTTAACCATATCTTATATTGATGTACTGTCTGTTAATTCATCTTGTTCATAATAAAGATGTATTATGGTTCATTCACAAAACTCGAATTGAGTTTGACTTGAAGTTCAAGGCTAGGACGGAAACAAAGCTCGAACTGGTAAAAATAGAACCAAAATTAAACCAGGGATTATTTTGGGAAATTGGCGAAGGTTGTGAAGAGCCCCCCCCCAAAAAAATTCAAAAATTGTCGAAAGATTGTATTTGTCTCCTTCCAAGCGTGAACTGGAGCTTACCTCTACTGCATTTGGCTTGTTGCCCCGACCACGAAAAGTCCGACTGACAATACCTCAAAGCTGACCCGCTGAGATGATATCCGTCCGGGCAGTCGTACTCAACTGAGTCACCAGGAAGGTAGAGAGCCTGCTGGCCTGATACCACTGTCAGCACATCAGATGGATCAGAGGTAGGCACACAGTGGGCAACTGTATAAACATGGAGGTTTCAGCGTTCGATTTCAGTCAGACCCCCGCAAATTTCACATGTAATCTTTACGAAACGTACCAGTAGTCGATTAACAGCTGCCTCACGGTCGAGTGACTAAAACATTTGAGTATCCTTATTTCCTTAAGTAAACAATGTTGAAAATTTTCTCAGGTATTAAGCTATTCTTTTCACACCGCGCACAATAAAAACAGAAGATATTTCTCATGGATTCATAATAAGTATTGTTTGATTGGAAAGTTGCAGAAACCTGCGTTATTAGAAACTTTAAATGATTACAATACCATCTGCGCATGTCAGTCCGTCATAGCCAGCCAGGCATGAACAGATGAACCCATCCAACGCACTGGTGCAAGTGGCTTCATTCATACAAGGTTCGTTGACACAGAAATCTATGAAAATGAAACGCTGTGGATTTAGTTGAGGAGGCCCCTTTACGTTCCCACGGTTCTCATGGATTTTAGACTTCGGGAGGCTCGGTCCGTCGAAAAAAGTATACATGTGGATTACAAATTACATGCTGAACGCGTATACAGCTAACGTTTGATGTATAAGCTAACTCTTACATGTATTTGTAAAGAAGGAAAAAGCCTTTTAAAGGTTTTGAAAAACATTTCATGACATGAACAAGTTTTCGACCCTGCACGATTTAAGTTTTTACAGTCTGTAGTACATCTGCTAAATATTGTCAATCAGTGTTTTCTTCATCCATTGTCTCTAACAGCTTATTCAGTCCGAGAATCTCTGATAAATCCACTCAATATTGTTTTCTCCAAAACATCTTAAATCCATCTGTTATTTTAAGTTTTACATGATGACATGCATAAATAAAGTATATATAGAGTGAAATCCCAGAAAAGCACAAAAATGAAAAGAGTAACTGCAATAAAAAACAAGAATTAAAAAAAATATAAAAAGTAAACAATGGAATACTTCTGTTGCATTCGGCTGGCTGTCCCGACCAAGTCAAGTCTGACTGACAAAACCTAGTTGCGGACCCGCTGAGATGATATCCGTTGGGGCAGTCGTACTCAACTGAGTCACCAGGAATGTAGACAGCCTGCTGGTCTGATACAACCATCAGAACACTGGACTCGCTGAAGCTGGTCACACAGTGGGCAACTGATTTAGAACAAGCAGTTTTATGAATTTTAATAAATAGTGCATTCAAATATACACTTGGATCGACGTATATAATTATCTAAACATTTTCTTCAAGTCAAAAGTGCTATTTTTTCACGGATTCCAAGGACTTAAGTTGGTCTTTCTGAGTAAAGAAGGTATTTCTGCTAAAGAAATATGAGGAATTCCAACGACCAAGTTTTGGTCTAACATTCAATCTTTATGTTCAAATTCTTGCCTAATACGTTTCAACGTCATGCACTATTGTTTCGAAATTTGAAAATCCAAAGTTTGTATCCGAACGTGGGAGATTAAAAATTATCAGGTGTCCATCACTGGTCTTTCATCACATGTGAAAATTTGTAATGATGAGTGTTATTGCATAACAGGATATGATTTTTTTCTGATAAAAGCCCGTTCAAAAGCGCAAATGTGAAGGGGAGGGGCGATTTTGACGTCAGATTCACACAGTAAACTCACAACAACTTATGAAATTCGGTAGCAAAGTCATTGTGCTCTCCAATTCGCTGCGCTTTTGCATTCGCGTGAACTTCACACCAATGTTAAAGCCTGTTCTTGTTGGTTGTTGTGTCGTTCAAATGGATCACATTTACAAGAGTTCATGTGAAGGAATAGAAAAGGCCAAATCAAGTCTCGCACACTAGATACATTACAATAATCAATGTAATGATTATCATACCCTCTGCGCATGTCACTCCACCATAACCGGCTGGACAAAGGCAAGCGAACCCACTCGGTGCATCGATGCAAGTTGCTCCGTTCAGACATGGTTCACTGAAACAAGGCTCTGTTAGTGAAAACAAGTTTAGTTAATGCTTGTCAAAGTTACTTCTGTCACATTGTGCGACACTGCCCAAGTTAACGGTCTCTTCATTAAACATCATGCGCTTTTGACGTGCAGAGTAGAAGTACAAACTGCCTATTTATGTTGTTCACAATAAAACCGCGTAATATTTCGTTTAAAAACATGACTTGAATTTGACATGAAGATCAAGGCCCGGATGAAAAACAGCACAATGGTCAAATGAAATTTAAAATAAAACTTTGTTGCAGATGAACGTCCTTGCAAGGGTCGTAAAGAGGAAATAAAATTAGAAATGGTCGACCGATTTCTTCAGTCTCAAAAAAAGCCTGACATTTAATGGACCATACCTCTGTTGCATTCGGCTGGTTGTCCTGACCATGTAAAGTCTAACTGACAAATCCTCAAGGCAGACCCACTAAGATAATACCCGTCTGGGCAGTCGTACTCGACCACGTCACCAGGAAGGTATACAGCCTTCTGACCTGCTACCACTATCAGGACATCAGACGGGTCAGAGGTAGGCGCACAGTGGGAAACTGTATACATGGAAGTTTGCAGCATTCGATTTCATTCAGACCTCACATATTGCAAATATTAATCTCTACGAGTACATGTTGTGAGTTACGTCAATTGCTTTGTTTCTACGTCGAGTTTAAAAACAGATTTGGATTTTCTCCTTTCCTCAAATAAACAATGTAGAACAATAACTCAAATGTAAATGAAACTTTCATAACATGAATAATAAAACTAAAACTTATTCATGACTTGATAACTGATTTCGTTTGATATAAGAAATTCGAGAAACCTGGGAGCCTAGAAATCATAAACTGATTACT